CTGGGCATCTGGGTTGTTTCTATCTTCCGGCTGTTGTGAAGAGTGCCACAATGAACAACGGCGGACAAGTCTCTGCTTTCAAATCTTTGGAGTGTATACCTAGGCATGGAATTACTAGTCTGAAAGGTCAGCTGTTCAAAGGAGAAAGATGAGGCTCTGTGCTCCCGTGAAGATGTATAGTTCTTGAAAGTCTAGAAAGGGTTTATGTGGGTTGCAATTGACTCGATGGCAGTGGATTTGCCTTTTAGACTTAAGGTACTTGTGGTTTTTTGAGGAATCGCCACATCGTTTTCCACATGGTTATACTAGCTTACATTCCCACCAGCAATGAATGCGGGTTCCCGTTTCCCCACACCCTCACCATGTTATTTTTTTCTGTTGCCGTTTTGAAAGCTTAGCCACCTACCAAAAACTAAATCCCAACCCAAGCCTGTTGTCAAGTCGGCCTGACTCACTGTGCTACCTACGGCCCAGAAGCAGCCAGTCCCGTCTTCCTCCTCTCAGAGGAGAGGCTGGTAGGTCTGAACTGCCAACCTGGCCATCTACAGTGTTTAACCCATTGTACCACCAGGGCTCTTTGTAGTCACCTCTCAAAAAAACTAAACCCCCAGCGACCCTGTATAAGGGTTCTGAGGCTGTGACTGCTTGCCACCTGTAGAGTGGCTGGCGGGTTTGAACTGCTGACTTTGTGGTTAGCAGTCCAGTGGGGATCCTACAACGTCATCAGGACTCCTGTTGAGTCACCTGGTGGGAGTAAAGTGCCTTTGATCTGCATCTCCCTGAGAGGACACAGCATCTTCTCATGGGCTTGGTGGCCATGGGCTTGTCCTCATTTGCCCACCGCATGATTGGGCTGTCTGTCTTTGTGTGGTCCTCACAGCCCTATGGACACGTTATGGCTCTTAGATTCCTGTCGGGCGCGTGGTCTACGGTGCCACCCTCCCGGGGGTAGCTTGCCTTTTCACTTGTTCAGCAGTCTTTGGATGAACACGTGTTTTTAGTTCTCTGAGGTCCCACTGACTTGTCTTTTGCAGCTTGTCCTTTACTTATTCCATAACAGTGTTGAAGTTAGGCCTGGCAGTGTTGCCCCTGCTTAGTCTCCTAAGAATTTCATGGCTTTAGTCACACATTTAGGTTCTTGGTCCATTTTGCACTTGTTTGTGTGTGGTGTGAGGTGCAGAAAGCGGAGTCCCCCCAGCACCATTTCGTGAACTCCTTTCCCCATCCAGTGGCTGTAGAACCTTGTTAAAAATCAGCTGAGCACAGATGTGTGAGTTTATTTCTGGACTTTCAGTTCTGGTCCGCAGGTCTGTTGGGACTGCAGTGGTCAGCTGTTTGATGACTGTAGATAAATGTTGTTGTTGTTAAGTGCCATCGAGTTGGTTCTGACCCATAGCGACCCTGTATAGGGTTTCCAAGGAGCAACTGGTGAGTCCGAGCTTCCGACCTTGGGGTTCAAGCCAACTTTGTGGTTCGGTCTTACCCCAGAGGGCCATATAGTAGGCTTTAAAATCAGACATTGGGATTTGCTGTGGCTCCTCCTCAGGGCTTCTGGTCATCCATGAAGTTGAGGGCTGGCTGGTGTCTGTGTAGAAGCTGCTCCTCTGTGCTTTTCATTTGTTTGTCCCTAATAACTAATGAAAGGAGCTCTGGTAGCACAGTGTGTACGGACTGAAATGCTAACCTCAAGGTCAGCAGTTCGAAACTACCAGCTGTTCCACGGGAGAAAGATGAGGCTTTCTGCTCCCGTAAAGATTTACAGCCTCGGAAACCCTGTGCAGGGTCGTTATGAGTCAGAACCGACTCCACGGCACATAACCACCACCACCAGCACCTCCACCAGTGACCAATGAGGAGTCCTGGTGTGGTGCTGCGGGTTAATGCGCTGGACAGCACGGTCAGTTTGAACAGCAAACCGGGCGGTTCAAGCTCACCAGCCGCTCCTCGGAAACCCCATACAGGGTCGCTATGAGTCGGAACCAACTCGATGGAACTTAACAACTAATGAAAGGCATACTGATGGCACCGTAGGTTAAGCACTGGGCCGCTAACCACGAGGTCGGCAGTTCAAACCCACCAGCTGTTCTGTGAGGTAACGATGAGGGTCTGCTCTCGTAAAGATTTATCGTCTCAGAACCCTTGGCTGTCCTATAGGGTTTGGTGTTGGGATGACTACTCGTGGAGCACATCTGTTCATGAGCACTCCGGGAGCACCTGCTGCATGGGAAGCACTGGTCTAGCGAGAGCGCTCAGTCTGAGCCCTCCTGGGGGGCGGGGGGACTCTCCGTGGTGGCCGACCGGAGCAGAAATAACAGGTCTAGCACTTCCGGGTCAGCACTGGACTGACAACAAGAAGGCCGGCAGTTCAAACACACCGGCCACTCCATGGAAACCCTACACCAGCTTGTTCTGAGTCAGAATCAACTTAACAGCATTTCACAACAAGCCATCGTGGGTGTGACACAGACAGGAGGGGACAGAGAGCCACAACCAGAAAAGGTACTGCTGGGAACAGACACTGATGGGCAGCCCCCCACACCCCGCATCATGAAACACAAATTACTCATCCTGTGCCCAAAGTCACCCACCCCCACCCAGTGCCATCCATGCTTCCAGATCTGGGCCCTGCTGCCCCTCCATGGCCACCACGCCTACTCAGATGGCCTCCTCACAGTGGCCTCCATGCCTGTCTGCTGGCAGCCCCACACAAGGTCCACCCCCTTAGGCTCCTGTCCCCACCCTGTTGGCCTCTGACCGTGTGGTCTCAGGAGCCCCCTTAGCACCCTGCCCCCACCCTCTTGGCCTCTGGCTGTGTGGTCTTAAGAGCCCCCTTAGCACCCTGCCCCCACCCTCTTGGCCTCTGGCCGTGTGGTCTTAAGAACCCCCTTAGCACCCTGCCCCCACCCTCTTGGCCTCTGGCCGTGTGGTCTCAGGAGCCCCCTTAGGAGCAAGAGAAGACACTGCTGGCAGGGCCCTGGGAATCCAGTTTCTCCAGGAAGTGGAGGGGTCGGTGGGACAAAGTGGTGCTGAAAACCCAGCCCTCAGTCTCTGCCACACTCTCTGGAGTCCAGGGTCTGGGACTGGACCCTGACTTTGTCCAGTGCCTGCTTCCATGATGTCCCCACAGCCGGCCCCAGAGCTGAAGGCACAACCTGGAGACATACAGAGTAAGAAATCGGGTGGGACCAGCTGCTGCCCCAGAGCCTAGCCCCCAACTCAGCAGCTTGGCTTGACCTCAGGACCACTCCAGTGGGAAGGGAAGTGGGGTTCAGTGACCCCTCAGAGACACTCTGTGCTGGCCGCTGACATTGGTCCAGGACCAGGTAGCTGGGGGGGAGGGTGTGTGTGTCAGACCTGGCCTCTGAGGGTCCAGCTGCCCCAGACCACACCTAAGCCACCTCCCTGCAAGGGACCTGCCTTCGTCCTCGGAGTGCCTCTAGGACAGCAGGCAGAAGGCACACAAACATGGGACACAGCCTTTATTGCTGAACATGTGGGTCTCTTCCAGGCGGGGACTTCACGGTACTGGTCAGGTGTACTGGCCCCTCAGCCTGGGCTGGGGGCTGGGGGGCTGAGGAGAGCTAACAAGGACCCAGGAGCCGGGGGCAGGGATGTCCAAGAGGTTGTGAGTCGAGGCCATCGTGCTGCGTGGGGCTGGTGGACGCCCTCTGTGGCGTGGGGCCAGCTTCCTCCATCCAGGACAAGAGGTAAAGGACTGTTCCTGGCCTCACAGGCGGGGCTTGATGTGGAGAGACCTCCCTGCAGCCAAAAGCAGCAATCAGACACGAAGGCCACACATCCCCAAGTGAGGCGGGGGCGGGCAGAGAGGTGGGAGCCCTGCCCCAGGGGGCAGACTCACTGTGGGAGTCGGCACCTCTGGCCGAGCTATAAATACCACAACTCCCACCTGGCTCACACAGGTGTGCACGCACACACTCTCGCACACGTTTACAGGTGCACACACATGCATACACACAGGTACCCTCAGGTACATGCACACCCACGCTCATACACATGTCCACATATGCACACACGTGTACAGTACATAACAGTCACGTGCACATGTGTGCATATGATATCCACTCACATGTACATGCATGTCCACATGTACACGCACACACAATGCACACAGGTATCCTCAGGCACAAGCACACACACGTACACACTCACAAACACACACTCAGGTACACGTGTCAAGCTGTCTCAGCTGGGGGTGGGCAGGACAGAAACTCCCGCACAAGTGACTCTGGGGTGGGGCCATTGACAGCAGGTGGTTCCAGGAGGCCTTCATGACCTGCCCTGTGTGCTCTGGGACACCCTCCAGGCTGCTCTGTCCCTAGGGTTCACACGCAGGGCACAGTGCCCCTATAAGCCCCTCTCTCTCCTGAGTCCCCCAGAGCCAGCACCCAGGCCGGGCCCAACCCTGGGGCCCATGGGCCTCACCCCCTGGAGTGGCCCTTTCAGCAGGTGTAGCAGCTTCCTGCCTGGGACTGTCCCCAGCCCACTACCCTGGGCCCCAGAGTCAGGCCAGAGGGTGAGGGGCTAGTGCTGGCCGGGCGGTGGAGCCCCTCCTGCGCCCTCCGCCAGGCGTTGAGTGAGCTCAGTGGAGTCGTTAAAGAAGGCTGTAGCAAGCATCTTCCATTAACGTTACGACCGTGAAATATGACAATAAAATGATAGCCGTATGGTCGCAAATTTGCAGCCCGCCGAGCTGCTTGGGGTTTATCGTCACTCAAACGCGCGGAGAGCTGTAAAATGTTTACAGAAAGGGTCGTTTGCAGCCATAAAATCCTCTTTTCTCTCCTAAACAAGGCTGAGTGGAGCCATTTACCAAGCCCCAAATGTTCACCGGGGGAGAGTAACATCTGTTCTCCACAGGAGTGCGCAGCCATCGGCTCCAGCAAATTAACAAAAATGGGTGCTTTCTAATTAAATCAGCCCTCGGCTGGGACGGCCCTCGTGGCTGGCGGGTTGACTCAGGCTGGGGGCCTGTTGCCTACCTGAGTCTTTGCTGGGGGAGCTCCCAAGGGGACGGGCACTGGGTTGGCGGGCCGGGCTGGGGGAGCTCCGCAACGAGATGAAGGAGGGCAGCCTGGTGCTCATCACAGCGGACGCAGGCTCCGAGACTGAGGCCGCCTCAGGGTCCAAGGAAGCAGAGGAGGAGGCTGTGGACAACACACTGGAGGCCAAGGCTAAGCCCACCAGGGAGGAGGGGGGTGGGGGCAGGGCAGCCACCATGGAGCAGGGGGAACCAGGTGTCGGCCTGGAGGGACGCTGGGCAGCTGAGAGCTTTCTGTAGAGGAAGGGCAGGGTCTGTGTGAGAAGGTCACAGAGGCTGGCCCAGCCTGAGGTGGCTGGGGACCCACGGGCAGAAGATCCCACTTGGTGCTGACCACTGCCCTTCATGCTGATGGCTCCCACTGTAGGCTGGCCCCACCCAGGCCACCCCAAGTCACCCTTCCCCATGGCCCAACACCCTCTCCACCTGGCTCTTTGCAGCCACAGGGACTGGGGAGGGGCCTCTGTAAGTCACGCCCCCCAGCCTGGTATAGAGGTGTGTCCCTGTGGTTCCAAGTCCAGGGGTCTCACCCCCTTCACACACACACACACACACACACACACACACCCGCGCCTTCACCTGGACCCATGGCTAGAAGCAATTCTGCTCCTGGGGGACGTGTCATTGGCTGCGGAGGCCGGGGCTGCCTGGCGGCCGGGACACTTCTGACTACGATGGAGCAACTGGCACTGGGGACCTCGGGGACAGACACCGCGGCGGGAGAAGTCGGGGCAGAGCAGTGTGTGCTTCTTCTTGCACTGTGGGGAGAAGGGTGGTGGGTGCTCCTCTCTCAACTGACTTCTGCGCCCTGACAGCCAGTCTCGCAGGCTCACCCCGGTCCCAAAGGTGGGGCACAGGGCCTGCCTCTACAGGGCAGGGGAGGGGGGGTCAGCTGAGGGTCAAGGAGGCTGGCAGGAGGCTGGCAGGTGCTCCAGAGGGCACCACCCCATCAGGGAGGGGCCTCCCTGAAGCCTGCCTGGGCGCCCCCACATGGCACGGAGAGAACTACACTGAGCGTCCGCCGGCTGAGACGCAGTCAGAGCTGCCTCCTCCTCGGAGGGCTTCAGAGACCGTCCATCTTTTCAGGTGCACACTGCCACATCGTTTTCCCGCAGAGCAGCTGGTGGCCTCAGTTGGCAGGTAGGCACCTAACTACTGTGCCAGCCCTCCAGCCTGCCCCCTCCTTCAGCAGCCCTGATCCCGGCCCCACTCCTGTGCCCACGCTGCCTCCTGGCTGCCCTTCTCCCCAGAACCTGGGGGTCATCTACACAGGCTAGTCTCTTGTCCACACTCGCTAGGTAGCACAGTGACTGTTTGTTTACCCAGCCATGCACTCATTCCACATGGAGCCCCGCCTGGCCTGGCCTCGGGGAACCTGTCACTCGGAAAAGGGGGTATGTGGAGACTCGCAGCACAGGGTGGGGCCACCTGGGAGGCCAGATGGACATCTGAGTGGCTCACACAGAGGCGGCCCGCTTGGCACAGCCTCTATGTGAGTCCATCCGAGACACCAGGCTGGAGGCAGCAGAGGTGCAGAGCGTCTGCCTGAGAGAGAACAGGGGCCCATGGACTCACACTATCTCCAAAGGGGCCTCGAGCACACAAGCCACACAGTGCCTGGAACAAGAGGGGCTGCATGGAGACAGCACAACACACAAGATCCAAAGGCTCAGTGCAAAAGGGAATGTAAAATACCCGTTCTATATACTTCACATGTTGGGTAAGTGAATGTGCTGTTAAAACTCAACATTCTGCTTGACTTTTTAACGTGGCTCCTAGAATGTCAAAAACCATACCTTTGTTTAACCTTTCTACTGAGCTAACCCCCCTCTGGAAAACCACTCAAGATCTTGGATAAAAGGGCACCTCCTCAAACCAAGAGCTGTAGACACCATGAGGAAAGGTACCACCCATAACAGCCCAAAGGAAATTGGTGTGGCAAAGTCAAAGCCCATGGAGTGTAGGCACCATGATGGAACAACAAAAGACGTCTAGACTTGTGTGACAACAGCTCAGCCTCCAAATACACAAAGAAAAACTGCAGCGCCTCAAGGAGGAACACTCAAACCAGGGTCACAGTGGAAATCGGGACCCACCTCTTTTAGCAATCGGCGGAGTGAGGTGGCCAAGACAGAATGAACAAGCTAGCTTTTATGCACCTGTGGACTACACGACACCCAAGAGAGCTGCAACCTATGTTCTCGCAAGCACCTGGGGAACTGTCATTAAAGCGGAAACCTAGCAAGCGTGAGTCGAAGCTCAACAAATTTTACCTAGACTACGTTCATTCAGCAAAGAAAAAACAAAAAAGCAACCAATCAAAAGCCCCGGAAAATCCTTAAGTGTCTCAAAATACAGAAAGTCACTACGCAATAATTCAGGGGTCAGAGAAGAAATACTGGAAATGAGGTAAGACTTAAAACCACATGACAACACCCAAATAACATATCACAATGTGTGGAATATAGCTAAAGCAGTACTTAGAGGAAAACACGTAGTCTTTAATGTTTACATCAGAATGCTGTCGGTTGTCAAGTGCCACTGAATGGGTTCTCATTCATAACGACCTATACAGGGTTTCTGAGGAGTGGCTGGTGAGTTTGAACTGCTGACCTGGTGGCTCAGTGCTGATCCTACAGTGTCCACTACTGACCCTAAGGTGCACAGTGCTGACCCTACAGTGCCCGGTGCCGACCCTACAGTGCCCGGTGCTGACCCTACAGTGTCCGGTGCTGACCCTACAGTGTCCGGTGCTGACCCTACACCCTACAGTGTCCGATGCTGACCCTACAGTGTCCGGTGCTGACCCTACACCCTACAGTGTCCGGTGCTGACCCTACACCCTACAGTGTCCGATGCTGACCCTACAGTGTCCGGTGCTGACCCTACAGTGTCTGGTGCTGACCCTACAGTGCCCGGTGCTGACCCTAAGGTGCACAGTGCTGACCCTACAGTGTCCGATGCTGACCCTACAGTGTCCAGTACTGATCCTAAGGTGCACAGTGCTGACCCTACAGAGTCCGGTGCTGACCCTACAGTGCCCGGTGCTGACCCTACAGTGCCCGGTGCTGACCCTACAGTGCCCGGTGCTGACCCTACAGTGCCCGGTGCTGACCCTACAGTGTCCGGTGCTGATCCTACAGTGCCCGGTGCTGATCCTACAGTGTCCAGTGCTGACCCTACAGTGTCCAGTGCTGATCCTACAGTGTCCGGTGCTGACCCTACAGTGTCCGGTGCTGACCCTACACCCTACAGTGTCCGATGCTGACCCTACAGTGCCCGGTGCTGACCCTACAGTGTCCGGTGCTGATCCTACAGTGCCCAGTGCTGATCCTACAGTGTCCAGTGCTGACCCTACAGTGTCCAGTGCTGATCCTACAGTGCCCACACCATGACTCCTGTATCAGGAATACAAGAACCTATCTCAAGAGCTTGGAGGGGAGCCAGTAGAATGAACCCAATGAAAACAGAAGAAAATAATAAAGATCAGAACAGAAATTGATTAAACGGCAAAAATAAAAGAAAAATGAAAAGAATCAAATGCTGGTTCTTTGAAAATGTTAATAAATTTATCTAGTAAGATCGTAATCAAGAACTAATGAGAGTAACACAAGGATCCTAAGTGCAAATAATAAAAGTAATACGAGACAGCCCAAAGCATCTAGCCAATTCCAATTCCTGAAGCTCCTCCTAGTCTGCCCTCAGAGAACCTGTCACTGGAAAAGGGGGTGTGCGGAGACTCGCTGCCCAGGGTGGGGCCAGCCATGGGCACTGGGGAGACAAAGGAGAGCTGCCCTTCACGGTTCCGAGGGTGTCCATCCTAACGGGAACACACAGCCCCATCTTTCTCCCGCAGAGTGGCTGCTTGGGTTTGAACCACAGACCTTGAGGTTAGCAGTCCAATGCTTCATCCACTGTGACACCAATGATCCTTATCAAGATAGGATAAACAAATTTTATGTCAATGAACAAATTCTAGAAAATAAGGACTTGAAATGAAAGCCGCATGTCCCTGTAAACACAGAGGAGTCTCAACGGTACTGAAGACTAAAGCCTCAGCCCCGAGTGCTCCACAAAATAGTCAAGAAACGCCTGGTTCTGATTTGACAGCAGTCCTCTACAGAACAGAAAAAGAGAGTATTTCTCGGCTTAGTTTCTAAGATCAGAATAATCTTGAAATCAAAACCTGACCAAGACCGTATGAGAAAAGTACAACTGGGTCAGTTTCACGGATGAGCAAGGATTCAAAAATCTTAAGCAAACCAAGTTCTGCAACATGTAAACACACAAATACGGGGTCCTAGTGTGGCGCCATAGGGTCAGCACTGAGCTGCTACCTGAAGGTCAGTGGTTCAAACCCACCGGCTGCTCTTCAGAAACCCTATACAGGGCCGTTATGAGTCTGAACCAACGTGACGGCACTTAACAACAAAATATGAGGTGACTTCAAAAAGTTTGCAGAAAAGTGGTATTCTAGGACAGTGGGATTCTTCCGTGAACTTTTTGAAGTCCTCTCTTGTACGAGGATTGAGTTGGGTGCAGCTCCAGAAGGGAAGGCTGGCTTCACTTCATGACATCAAAAGACAGAAACTAGCGTGTTAGCAGGCTAGGAGAGAGGGATTACAGCGTCACCTCAAAGGACACGGGAGCAGTATTGGAGGAAATTCAACCTCCATTCAAAGTGCTCCCCCACCAACAAAACCACTGTGCAGACAGGTAAGAGAAGGAGAACTCTTTCGCCGGATACAAAGCGCTTCTTTAAGAACCTTCCAGAAAGCATCACAGGCAGAGAGGAAAGAGTGGAAGCATGGCTTCCTCCTTTCAGTACCATCAACACCGTACTGGGCTCCCACTCAGTGCAAGAAGGAAAGGAGAAGCAGTCATATTGAAAGGAAGAAGTAAAGCTGTCATTATTTGAAATAATTTGATTGGTTATATTCGGGGAAAAAATCCTGTTTAAAGAAGTAAAGAACTCCCTGAGACTGTGGCCCTTCGACCCCCTTCAGGTCTAGAACTGAACTCACCCCGTGGATCACTTTTTGGCCCAACGATAAGCAGATCTATATGGGGAAGAATAACATTAGGGAGGTGCACACGCCTTAGACGTCAACCATGGAGGTCCAAAGGGCAGCACTGGCCTGGCCCATGGACAGAGTTCAGAAGGGTTGATAGAATAGGAAGAACGGATATGAAAACCAGGAAGGAAGTAGAAAACTGTGGGGACGGTGATCTGTGACGTGCAACCAACTGTGTATAAATAAACTGTGGAATGGAAAACTGATCTGCTCTCTGCTCTGTAAACCTTCACCCAATCCATAATAAAAATTCATAAAGAGAAGAAGAAAAGAAAATATAAAGTCTCATCAAATAGAGAATATCAATACAGGGCATAAATTATTACAAAGAACCAAATGGAAATTCTGGACTTTGAAAGTACAATTACTGAAATGAAAAATTCATTAGAGGGACTTGACAACAGATTTGAACTGGCAGAAGAAATAATCAATGAAGATCAATAAAGATTACATAATCTGTCTAAAAAACAGAGAAAAGACAAGGATGAAAAATGAACAGCGCTTCAGAGAAATGTGGGACACCTTTAAGTGCACCCACACTCATACATACGGGAATACCAGGAGGAGGGAAGAAACGGCAGAAAAGAGCAGTGGCTGACAACCATTCATCTACATATTCAAGAAGCTTAAGGAGCTCCAAGTAAGATATCTATGCCAAGAGACTCAGAATAAAAATGCTGCAC